AACTCTCACTGGAAACGAGCCCGACTTACTGCCGGCAATGCAGGCCAAGCTCTGAAACAGGTCAGACAGGTCCTAATAGCCTTTATGAAATGGCCTGGTACCCCATACTCCTACGGCCACCCAGAACGCCTTCTCCAAATCCACAAACACATGTAGATCGGTTGGGCAAACTCCCACGCACCCTCCAGGATCCCCCTAAGGGTACAGAGCTAGTGCAGTGGTCCACGGCCAGGACAAAAACCACATTGTTCTCCCTGAATCCAAGGTTCGACAATCCGATGGACCAATCCAGAATCCCTGCATGATCTTTCCAGGGAGGCTGAGGAGTGTGATCCCTCTGTAGTTGGAACACACCCTGCAGTCCCCCTTTTTAAATAGGAGGACCACCACCCCAGTCCACCAATCCAGTAGAGCTGCCCCCAATTTCCAGTGAGATACTGCAGAGCTGCCTCAACCAACACAGCCTCACAACATCCAGAGCCTTAAGGAACTCCGGGCGGATCTCACCCACCAGCGGGGCCTTGCCACCAAGGACTTTTTTGACCACCTCGGTGACCTCAGCCCCAAAGTTTGGAGAATCCAACTAAAAGTACTAAGAGTAAAAATGGACACCTTTATGCTTGAAAATGGTGTTTATTATAGACAGTCCATGATGTGCACAGAAGTCCGATAACAAAACACCGCTCAGATTCAGATCAGGGTGCTGTTCCTCCCAACCACACCTCTCCAGGTTTCACTGCTGTTGCCCATGTGAGTGTCCCCCAGCAGAATGAGGTAGTCACTGGAAGGAGCACTCTCCAGGACTCCAAGGACTCCAAAAAGGGTGGTTAGCCTGAGCTGTAGGTTTTGTGCATAAGCACTAACCACAGTCAGGGATGTCCCCCCACACGCAGGCAAAGAGAGGCTACTAGTGATGAGTAGATGAGGCCTTGTGAAGCGTTTCGGCACATTACTAAAACTGTATCGATTCTGTGTCAACACTGTGTCACTGTTTGTCCACTGACACCTGCCGGAGCATAAACATCATTGCAGTCAGACCTAAGAGTGAGACTCTCTACTGACATCAAGCCCCGCTGTGCCTTTTACCCAATACGGCCAAATTTCCACGTACATTTTCCCTATGATGTCTCAGCATTCACAACATTCTTTTATTAATGTATGAAAGGTTAGCTGAACAAATGTGACATTTAACCTGCAAAAATTAGTATTATTGATTTAAATAGAATCATTTAGAAACAACATTCTGATGGATCAAGCAGAAACGGAGTGGAACAGGATGAAACAAGGAAATAAAATGAAATAAAAAGAACAAAATGATCCCTCAAGGACCACCATCTGCTTTCTTTCTGGCTCCATGACGTATCAGTGGAATAATTTTGCTTCAAAAGATGTACTTTTTGGAAGAAACTTATTCCATTGACAGATGGAGATGCTCCTCCATTTAAAAACAGTTCAGTACTTCACTGACAAGCGAAACAGCAGTTGTATCGGTCACATGACTGCTCCCTAAATGACACGTGCACCAACATGTGGTCTCGCTCTATGAGCTAGATACATGCGCAGATTCATCAGAGTTGCTGGTCCATCACTAGTGGCTACCCTCTCATTCACTGAGGTAAACATCAACGTACAGACACCAAGATGGGGGGTAATAAGTGTGCCCAGCCCTGCTCAATGCCTCTCAGTGGGAGCAGCTCCAGAGTGGTAGAAAGTCCAACCCCTCTCGATGGGTCCGGAGCCAGAGCCATGCATTGAGGTGAGTCCAACTATATCTAGCCGGAACCTCTCAACTTCGCATACCAGCTCCGGCTCTTTCAGGTGACATTCCACGTACCAAGATCTAGCTTTTGTAGCCAAGGATCAGCGTGCCTAGGTCCCTGCCTTCGGCTACCATCATGCACACAATGCTAATGGAAAGGGGAACCCATATCTCCTCTTTGGGCTGTGCTTGACCGGGCTCCATGGGTAAATGCCCGGCCATCAGGCGCTTGCCAACGTGCCCCAACTCCAGGCCTGGCTCATTGGCACGCTTAAATCCCTCCAACACGGCAAGGTGGGGGGTACTTTTAGTACTTTCTAGTTTAAAGGATTTGTATCATGCTATTTTAAATCTTTCAGAGCAAGGACATATGATTAAATTTTTACCGTTGGCATTATGGTGACATAAATTGCTCTGAAATGTTATTTTCCTTTATCAACCCATTTATCAACTCTACCTTAAGTATTCCACTGTAAATAAGATACTTGGATTCCATGAAATCCCACCTTCACCCCTGGGAGTTCCACCCATTTAATGACGTAACCCTAGATTCCTAGCACAGCATCATAGAGCATGAAGACAAAGCTAAAGAATAAGATAGAATCTATGGCAACACGCATGCCAGCAGCGTTCTGGCCATTGGGAGCACCAAGACATTTCCTAGTGGCCTGGCTGCCGAAATGGCCATGTTGTCATTGTCATTTGCCAAAGAAAGTCCAAACACCAAATGTCTTCTGACTCGCACTGAGTTCAGTACTTTTTAAAAACGATGAAAAAAAAAAAGATTTTGCCATTTCAAACTTTCTCAAGACACTGGGGAAATTTATCTTTTATTGAAGAGCCAATTAATGAGTACTCTATGGACTTTCCGATTAGACTATTTACAGTCCTCCCAATACAGTGTCAGTGACCTTATTTTCTAGTCTGAGAGCGACTGATAAAAGGGGTCGCTATATCGCACCGTTCAAAACCCGTGAAGTTAGGCTTCACACTCTCCCTGATTCTTATCCCCTCTCTGCAACAGCCAGACTTGCCATTGCTCTGGAGAATGCTAACAAAGCTGAAGGAAGTGAGAGACTTCCACATGGAAAAGGCAATTAAGAGCTCAATGCCCCGAGGGACGGAGCGAGAAAAGCTCGAAGGGAATGAGGGAATGAGGGAAATAAGCAAGCAAGGAAAGCATGAAGGGAGGAGGAGGAAGTGGAGTAAAGCAAAATGTTAGTTTTAGATTCTAAGCGGTGGAGCGATGTCTATGAAACCAAAGAAAACCCATGAGCAAGTCATTGTTTTTGATACTGTTCTTCCAAATGCCAAAAGTCAAAAAGAAAATGTGGTCAAAAGCAAACAGATAGATGAAATACAGAGGAAGGAAGGGAAATCGGAATAACGTCAAACAAAAGCTTGTGAGGGAAAGGGAGGAGGAGAAGGGAGGGAAACAGATAAAGGGCCATTGTTATCAAAGTGAGATCTGCCAGTCAGTTCCATCTCACTCGACATGGCTGCCACACTGATTCCCTCCCCGCAGAAGAGATTAAAACAGATGAAACAAGCTAGTCTTGTATCATGCCTGACGCATAGTCAAAGACAAGGGGAGTAAACTTTCCTCCAAACTAAAGGAGATGGAATGATAAGAGCATGCCTGGGTCTCTCTTATAGAGTCATCACTTACTGGCCACTCTGCTGACATTCAGCCTAGTTGTTGGAACTGGGACCAGGTGTTAGTCGGAGGAAGCCATCCCTCTCTGACACCGCTGGCTGACTTATCAAGCTGTGCAGACATCGACAATCATTCTTAAATACTGCCTTTGGCCTGATGCAGCATAACAACATGCAGGACCCAAAACAAAGAGATGGTTTTGAGTTTGTTGCACCCCCTTCTTTTGAATTCTGTAATATTGAATGTTCTTATCTAACATGTCACAAACTGTGAGAAAGAAGTTTTCCTGATCAGATAAGAGCTGTCTGGTGAATTACAGTGTGTGGTTATTTCTTTATTTTTGGCCAGCCAGGCCTATTACAGTAAAAGTCTAGAGTGTGTTAGCTTGATGAATCTACTCTCTGTTAGATATGATGATTCAGCTGTGCTATTACCATGAGCCATTTCAGCTTAAGGCAAGGCCCACACTTGAGCTCCTTGGCCACAGAGACAGAGAGAGCATCTAATGACAAAACACAATCTTAATGTGGAGGGTGATGGGTCGTTTTTAATCAAGGTTTTGTAGAATTATGGAGATGCTAACACTAATTTGCATGTGAGGATTCAAGACGGTGAGCAAAATTACAAGCAGAACTCACAAACGCTTAAAACACGGCTCAGAGGGGAAGTTAATGACCCACATGATCAATTTAGTAGTTTTATCATCCTTTGCAAATTCGGTAATTAATGAAGAAAAGTCTCCAGCAGTCGTTGCAATCCATGCTCACCAATTTATTAAATTGTAATTATTTGGATTTGTGAGCAAAGGAGAGAGAGAGAGAGAGAGAGAGAGAGAGAGAGAGAGAGAGAGAGAGAGAGAGAGAGACAAAAGAGCAGTGAGCACAATTTTTTTTGTTTTCATAGAGGGTTCCAGTTCAAGCTCCCGTCTTTTATTACCAGAAAAATAAAAAAACACCCCGTTTGATGTCTTGACCATGAGATCCACAACAAAGTTCTGCACTCACTCCAGACACTGTGATCCCTGCATACTTTAACATTTAAACAACCAGTCTACTGTTTTGCAACCAGCTTTACAGCAACCTCTCACTAATCAAGATTTTTTTTAAAAACACTTGTACATGACACATTCTGACAACTGCTACATGATCAAATGCTACGACATGAACTAACTTAATCCCTGTTTGGCTTAAGGGAAAAGAGATATGCAAGAATGAGAGTTGCTCTTTCTTATGTATTCCACTTTAAGGACCAGTGCAGGACCACCAGATGAGTGAGGTGAATAGCAATGACTGCTTGTATGGACTGGCAGATAGAAGGAGACCCCCATTGCATTGCATTAACTTTTAATTATGACTGTCTGGGAGATGCAATTACCCATCTGAGACCAGACTTCCTCAAATGTTTCAGCGAGTCTGTGCTCATCTGCAGCATCTTTTGTTACTATTGTGGGTTTTCTCAATCAAGTGTCAGTTACTATTTCGAGGCTAGATTACTACACATACACTGCAACACAGCTGGAAGTATCTTGAGACTTTCACATCTTGTTGTTCTTGGCTGACAGTCTGTATTTTTCTGTCCTTTAAGGTTTCTATCCAACACTTCCTTCAGTGGTTCCACCGGATTGATCCAAGTTAATGCTGATGTCTCTAGAATCCTCTCATCCCAGCTGTTCCATGTATGGAGTCTAAAAAGAGGAGCTCTGGGCCAGCCAGCCTGGGTGACAGTAGGACAGTGGACCAGAGGCCGACTGGAGTTAGAAGGGGGTGTCCTAGGACTGGTGGGAGGGCTTGGAAGTAGCCAGGGACAAGGTCTGGGAGCTGGCGTGAGAGGAGGGGATGGCCAAAGTGATGGTTACATAGGAAGCCGTTGGAGGCCAGGACTTTCTGTTGAGGGACATCGCCTTAGAGTGGTGACATTAGTGGAACACCCATTTGTTTTCACACGGGAGGTAGATAAAGATGGAACATGTCCTGCAGGTCAACTCTGTCTGGATCCTAAAACCAACCGTTCTGACATAATCAACGGGCTCTTCAACCGGCTTCACAATCCCAACTCCTCAACAGTAGACTGGGATGGATTTGGTGAGTTTTGGCATTTGTCTGCTTCAAACAATGTTGATGTACTGGTATGCTGCAAAAGACTTGCAAAGTTAGTTGGTTGTAGGTGTTCATCCATTAAAGTCTGTCATGTGGATATTTAGCTGATGGACGTGGTTAACTCTAACCTCTTTCATAAGACACGCTGTTGTGGCAGATCTAGTCATTTCTGAATGAAGATCATGCCTTCATGCAACAGATGTTGATTATATTAATCTTTCGTTTTTCTTTTTTTTGTTAATCATGTTAATCATTTTCAACAATATTGAAAATGAATGTAAACATGGGCAGTCAATTTTCCTCCTGAAAACATCTTCAGCAGAGATGGCAAACTGGAGCGATGCAAAGGTCCGGGAGCTTCTGGCCATTAGCGCTAACGCACAGATCTTAGGGAAGTTTACGAGGACTGTGAGGAATAGACATCTTTGGAACGACTTGTAGAAAGACTTAAGCAGCATCGCTTCAATCGCCGCAAAAACAAGCTACATCCAAGCTTAAAGGATGTCTATGATGGAGGTGGCCGAGACGTAGCCTGGCCTGCCAGACTCATCCTCTGAGTTTGCAGACCCAATGCTTCCCATAAGGAAGCATGGGGCTGGCTGGTCAGGCTAGCCGAGATCGCTCCCACAACCCCCTTAAACCACCATTGAGTAATCTTTTGTGCAAAACGAACAGTGTTGGGAGTAATGCGTCACAAAAATAATTAATTACTGTAATGCATTGCTTTTTGCTGTAATGTGGTAATGTAAGACATTACAGGGAAAGAAAATGGTAATATTTACTCGGTACAATTGTCAGTAACGCGGTAATTACAAAGCATTTTTAAACCCAGAATCAAGATGTGGGTTTCCTAAAAATTCTAATTGTGGGAAGCCTGAAAAAAGATCCAGTATCCACATATATGACGTCATTTATGGACTCAGCTTTGCGAGCATTCTATGAGCAGAGAGGACGCAGCGGTAATGGCTCAAATACTCAGCTGTGTTCTGCATGCGGCCGCTGTTATATTCACAAAATCGCTCCACCAAAACAAAATAATTTGTTTGCGATCGTTTATATCAGTTCATAATCTCTGGTACTTCATGTACTTTTCAGCTGAGTTCATAATCTGTGCCCCGGTGATTTCAACTCATTGCTGCTGCAGCGCAGCACATATTAAGCTTTTTTTTTTTTTATGCGTTCGGTAGATCCCTTTGGCTGATTAGTTAGAAGGTAGGAAATCTAGGAAACAGTTGTTCTGGATGACGGAGAAAACATGCAGCATGCAGGAAGGTTAGAGAGAGAAAGGGCCGGAAATTATTCAAATAAAATCAAGAAAACAAAACAAAGTGCTTGAAAAGAAAAAAGTAGGTAGATTTATCCCCAATACACATTTTTACCAGTGAAAAGCAAAAATATGTAGGCATTTAATATTTATACATGTGATAGAATCAGATCACCCCAGAAGTCAGTCCCACATCCAGGGCCGTATCAAGGCATTTGGGGACCACGGCAAATAGGCTTGGAGCCCCCACCACCTCACTCCCTGCTCAGTTACTATAAGATGGCAGCATGCTGAGAGTGCAGATTGTTGTTGCTTTTATTTAATAAACAATCATTTTAAAGCACTGTTATCATATCTGACTGTTTTTAACAGCAATCCTAGCTCAGACACCACATCACCTTCCACATGTATGTCATGAGCTCATTGAGCGTCAGATTACTAGATTCATACTGAAGTTGTATTGGTGAAAGTAACTTTAAGTAATGCAAAAGTAGTGTAATGCCTTACATTTTTAAATCAGTAATATTGTAATGTACTGAATTACTTTAAAATGAGGGTAACAAGTAATAAATAATGCATTACAGTTTTGAAGTATCTTGTCCAACACTGAAAACGAATGATCGCACCACCTTACCGCCACAGGCTGACACTTCTGAACGACTAAATGCCACCAGCTTTGTAATGCTGAGGTGGCACCATTGTCTTATGAAAGAGACTTCTGAGAGTTAATGGAGTTTTAAGCAGTTATGTTGCACAATGTAAAGCACTCAGAAAATGTGCCGGTGACAACTCTCACAAACTGATATATGACATTTTAGACCAATATATGTAAAATTGTAAAATTGAGAGTGAGACGGACAGCCTCTCCACAGTGACTCAAGATTGAGATGGATTTTTGAAATGTTATCAATAAAAAATGATCAGAGTAGTTCAAAAATATTTGGAATTCAATGTCAAGGCTCATCACTACGGCTGCATCTATGTTTCATGGATGAAGCACATGAAAGGCATTAAATCAATAAAAGATGAAGACTGCTGAATGAAAATAACATCAGGTGCAAGTTTTTGTTAAGTTGGTAGACTATTAAGCAACTAAGCTTCTACAGTTTTGCACTAAATTCCTGCCTTAATATAGAGATTGCTAGTGGAAAACAGCTTTTCCTAAACCAAGACTTATTTTAGCTAATTCTGTCTTTGCAGTAAAAATTCTCATGAAATTTTTCATATGCCTGACCATTATACAGTTTCATAAATGGAAACAGTAGTGCCAAGCAGAATGAACTGGCACACTGGTATTTCCAATTAACTGACACTACAGAAAAGGTTTGCCAAACAACTTAAAATGACAGAAGTATTTCACACAGCCAGCTGTCTGATTTTCCTGGGCGTGCTTTGGGATTGTTCATTTTTTAAACCCTGTATCCTACTGTGTAATACTAATAAATGTAGTCCAAACCATGGCACATGGGTCATTAAAATGTTCAAGCTGAGGTGTCCTTTGATGATCCATCAGCTTTTTTAATGACTCATTTTTGTGCACTGATTCTCAGATGTACAACCCCCAAGCTTAAAACCTGAACACGACTGCCAACATGAGTAAGTTTTACATCATCATCACTTTTTCTTTCTTCTAGACATGCCGGAGGACCTGAGAAAATGCTGCTACGGGTACTGCATCGACTTGCTGGAGAAACTTGCAGAAGACATGGGCTTTACCTTTGACCTTTATATTGTGGGAGACGGAAAGTACGGGGCTCTGAGTGGGACTGGACGCTGGACTGGGCTCGTGGGGGACCTGCTGAGTGGAATTGCTGACATGGCCGTCACCTCTTTCTCCATCAACTCTGCCAGGAGCAGAGTCATTGATTTTACCTCACCCTTCTACTCCACCAGCCTTGGCATTCTGGTAAAATTACTTTATGTGGAGTTTTTGAGTTTGATGTTTTTATCACAGTAAGATAAATAATGTCTATCTTAAAACATATCAATTGCCCAAAAAGCGTCCTACAAATTTCTAACAATATGTCTCATTTTCAATAATTTCTTGTACCAATATCAGTGTTTGTCAGTTATTTTCTGTCACTCACTACTCAGAGGGAAAAATATACGTTTTGTGCTTACTAGCCCTGGTTCCTATGGTATATAAACATTGTGTCATTAAAAGACTGAAAAACAATACCGATTATTTTAATGCCGATATCCGCCGATAATAATGGCAGGCCAATATCGAACATCCCTAGTTATGAGGTATTCAGGATGAACGGCAGTGTTACAACAATAATCAATGTATTGCCTTTACATACAAAAAGAGCTTTTGTTGTTTAACTTTCTTTTTGGAACTGATTACAGATAACATGCTTCATGATTTACAACTCATTGATCAGCCAGACCCAATGCTTCCTTATGGGAAGCATTGGGTCTGGGAACTCTCCTATTCAAATAACCCCCACCCCCTGAGAATTGTAACCGAGCCAATCAGCGCTGAGCAGCGTACGCCACACACCACAACGCTGAGTTTCTCATAAACAACGATGACAACATCTGAAACGGGGTTTGCTGCGGCTCTTTCCTCTGTTCTAAATTACTTGAACATGACTTTAAAAACACAAAAAGTAGAACCGCTAAAAACCTTTCTTCTAAAGAACGATGTTTGTGCCGTAGCCAGATGGCACTGTTTTTGACTGCAGCTAAAGAACTAGAGTCAAAGAGGAAGAGAGGAAGAGAGTCAACCCTCAACCGCCGCAGCAGTCGAGGGTTTTGCCGCTGGAAATGCTAACACTAACGTTAGCTAACCTTGCAACACTATAGATGGTTTTCTGTGTGGCTGTATGTGTTTATGGTTTCATGGAAAAGTCAGTGATTGTTCAGATGTTTATGATGCATATTAATGATTGTTTCAGGTGTTGTTGAGGTTTTGTGCACGCATGTGTATCTGCTAGTGTAGAAGGTGTTTTAGAGAACAATAGGTATACGCATGACCACTTCCCTCATAGCACCCTCAATAACAAGACTAGCTCCTTCATAGCACCTGCAGAAAAACATTTCTGGAGCCACCACTGGCTAGTCCCGCCCCTCATGTGCCTCTCTGCCTGTGAGTAACCAGACTAGCTCTATGTGTAGAAATAAACAGAGGACAAGTCTGGCAGGCCAGGCTATGTTTTAAAAGCTTGATAGGTATTTTTGTTATTTTTATATAACGTTTGATTGATCATTGACTTTATAGAGGTTCCTTCATCTTATAGCTCTCAACCCACAAAATAAAACTGGTATATACAGTACGTGTGACCCAAGCTATTGCTTATTGAACTATAAAATCATTGCAAATAAGGTCATTAGACAAATGGCATAATGAAAACACACAGCTTTAACAAAAAATATACTATTTCAAATGATTTGTCACATTTGTTTGTTTTTTTTACAACTGTCACACGAGAAGGACTGTAAAAATTACTTCATCTTTAGTTCTTTCCCTGGCCAGTACTGGTCAGCCAATCTTGGTTGAGCATTGATTCCCAATTTTTGCTACGTTTGTTTCGTGTTTCCTATCAGAATTCATTTCTTGTTGTTCTTCGTCTAACACAGTAAGAGGAGCTTGTTTTTGCCTTAACTGACATGTTTTGATGTATCCTGCTACTTCGTCAGAGTTATTCCGATGTTGGTGGCATCACTTCCATTTACCTGCAGGAAGCAGAGGACAATATTGCCCACTTCTGCCCACACCTTCTCCACTGATCACTATCTCCCATGAGTGTGTGAACTCCTTTGTCCCTGTTCGTGGTCCTGGATACGCATCTCCTTATCCCAATCACTTCATTGATCCATCTTTTAAAGGAAACATGTCGAAGGCACACAAGAGCAGCAAAACCATCCATCCATCCATTTACATCCGCTTATCCGGAGTCGGGTCGCGGGAAGCAGTGGCCTAAGGCGAGAGGCCCAGACTTCCCTCTCCCAAGCCACTTGGGCCAGCTCCTCCGGTGGAATCCCAAGGCGATCCCTGGCCAGGTGAGAGACATAGTCCCTCCACCATGTCCTGGGTCTGCCTTTAGGTCTCCTCTCGGTTGGATGTGCCCGGAAAACCTCACCAGGGAGGCGTCCAGGAGGCATCCTGACCAGATGCCCGAGCCACCTCAACTGGCTCCTCTCGATGTGGAGGAGCAGCGGGTCTACTCTGAGCCCCTCCCGAATGACCGAGCTTCTCACCCTATCTCTAAGGGAGAGCCCAGGCACTCTTTGGAGAAAACTCATTTCGGCCGCTTGTATCCGCGATCTCGTTCTTTCGGTCACTACCCAAAGCTCAGGACCATAGGTGAGGGTAGGAACGTAGATCAACCGGTAAATCGAGAGCTTCACCTTCTGACTCAGCTCTCTCTTCACCACGACAGACCGGTACAACGCCCGCATCACTGCAGATGCAGCACCAATCTGCCAATCTGCTCGATCTCACTCTCCAGTTTTCCCTCACTCGTGATCAAGACCCCGAGATACTTAAACTCCTCCACTTGGGGCAGGACCTCATCCCTGACCCGGAGGAGGCATTCTACCCTTTTCCGAATCAAGACCATGGTCTCAGATTTAGAGGAGCTGATCCTCATCCCAGCTGCTTCACCCTCGGCTGCGAACCGCTCCAGCGAAAGCTGAAGATCACGTTCTGATGAAGACTATAGGACCACATCATCTGCAAAAAGCAGCAAAACAAGAAGCAGAAAGCGCAATTAAAAAAATCTGCTATGACAGACCACTGTACATGGAAAAAAATTGCATAATAGACTGGGACAGCACAAGGATCATAAACACAGAGCAACATATATTCAAAAGATGGGTCAAAGAAGTGATCAAGATAGGCTGTGGATCCAGGACCATGAACAGGAATGAAGGACTCATGGAACATGGTGATCAACAGAGAAGGAGCAGGCAATAGAGGGCGATATTGTCCTCTGCTGTCAGCAGATAAACAGTAACGAAGCCACTAACATCGGAGAAAGCTTTGACGAAGGCGGCAATAGATGTCGAAACATGTCGGCTAAGGTAAAAACAAGCTCCTCTTACTCTGTGTTAGAAGAACCACAAAAAATTCATATTGATTCCCAACATACAGCTGTAATGCATGACTGTTCTACATGAATGGATGTTTCAGCATTAAGTTTAAATAATTCTCAAAGGTGCTTATTGTGATTTATTTTTATAATAATAAATTATGTTTTCAAGTCTCCATTATCGGTCACCTTGTGACAACTTTCCAGAAATATTCCAGGACTAAATCTTCACATATATGGCTACAAATCAGCATTAACATTACATTATCAGTTTATTGCAAAGTTGCAAGCACAACAAATACGACATTCCTTCTCTGGACGCCTTTGTTAATGTATGTTCTCTTTTTCACACCAATGAAATGACCTTTAGTCATTCATCTGCAACATCATAACAGGCCATGTTCTGCAGTGCACTGCTTACGCATGTGAAACTGACATTACAAAGTCAATAACGTGATAACAGCCACCATCTTGGCCCTGGGACGTCCTCCCAAAGCAGTATAAAGGACTATGAGTGTTGGGTCAACCCCAACACCACTTTGGTCATTTCACACTTCAGTCATTTCCAAAAGTGTTTTATGAAAGGGGCTTGAAGATGTGGCACAGCCAGCATTTAGTGTCTCTTTGCATGACTTTTGGTATGAGGCAAGAGATCCTGCTTTTGTTAATTTTATTTGCAAATGTTTAAATTTGGCATGCCCATTTAAAAAGTTTAAACTGAACTTGCTTTAAGAAGTACAATGAAAAATGACTCAATGTGAATGTGAGAAAATCATGATTTAAATGATGCAGGATAATGTTTTGCCCTGAGCAAACAGTGTAAACAGCACAAGATGTGATCAATATTAAGAGATATTCTATCAAGAGTTGTTTACACAGTTTTGCATTAAATAAACAAAATGTATTCAAATGAGTTCATTCAGATCATCTCATTAACTTTGTTTGGATTTTCAGGTTCGAAGCCACGACACCGCAGCCCCTATTGGAGCCTTCATGTGGCCTCTCCATTGGTCCATGTGGGTGGGAATTTTTGTCACTCTTCATCTCACTGCACTCTTTCTCACCTTGTATGAGTGGAACAGCCCCTTCGGGATGACCCCCCATGGCAGGAACAGGCTGCGTGTCTTCTCCTACTCATCTGCCCTCAATCTCTGCTACGCAATACTGTTTGGACGCACTGTTGCCACCAAGGTACAGTTAGTTTTATTTCTGTAGCAGGCTGGCACCACGCAGAGTGCGTTGCAAAAGAGAGAGGAGAGGAGATGCCCAGCACAAATAGCAAAGGAAAGTTAAAAGAAAAGGAAATTATCACAGCAGTGAAAAGATGGATAGGGTTGAGGTTAAGAGGTGAGGCGGTGATAAAGTAGAGAGGTGCAGGCGGATAATGCACATACAAGGAAAGAAAGGGGATATGAGGGGGATGGATGAAGGTAGGAAGAATTGGAATGGTTAGAGGTTAACTCCCAAAAGTAGTCCGAGATGAAGGTAAAAGCACGATGGTAGATGGAAAAGGGCCAGTAAGTGGTACCGAGGTGTTAAAAATGGAGGTAATCAGAGGACTGACAAAAGAAAATGTAAGATAAGGTCGAAAGGGTAAGTGTAGAGATGAGGAAGGGAACTGCTCGAGGGTGATGCTGAGGTAAAAACGTAGAGGAAGATATAAAGATGTAGCCTTTAAAGTTTAAGAAGTCTTTTTTTATCTTAAATATGGAACATATTATTAAAAACATCCTTCCAGTATAAAACAAGTATGTCATTTTTCTAATGATTTGTTGACATAAATAAATGAAGTTATTAAATGTACCTTTGCATTAACAGCATTCCTCTTGCAGGTGTCAGCTTTGACAGGCTGTGTCACACCCGCGGTCTCATTGGCACAAACATCTAACCACAACAGAGCTGAATAATGAATTTCTTTTCTGACGTCTTTGTTTTTTATCGAGCAACACAGTGTTCCAGATTTTATCATCATGTCAACTTATGCTTGTTTTTGAAATATTCAAGCAGCGGTGTCATTTCCTCAAATTACGCTTGTCCTTTCTGCCAGAGAGCAAGTTGTTGTTGCTTCATTTTTAAAATGCACAATCACATTTTGCCCATAAAGTGGGCTGCAAAAACACTTTAAGTGGAAGGTGAAAGACTGTCCCATAGCTGAAAGGTCACAGGCTTGATCTTTGCAAGAGGCAATGTGTCAGTTAACAGTTTTGTTCATTAGCAGCCTGTGACCTGTTAAAATGTCCTTCAGCAACTCTCTGAACCACTGGGTGCTGAGTCAGAGCCAAACTATGATGCTTTTGCAGACTGTGTGTAGGGCATGGCAAGTCAGTGCCTTCCTAGTAAAGTTCAGATTTAGTATTTGATGTAACATATTAAGACATCCATTAGCAACACCCAATTTATTTTCTCGGGGGTAATGTGGAGCTGGGTAGCAGCTGCCACGGCAGGGCTAACACACAGTAATGTTAACAATTTCATTTCTTGCTCAATGAGCAACCGTGTAATACGTATTCTTTTTAAAATACGATTTTCAACCCCTATCGCCTGCATTCGCCGCAGAAAGGAAATCGACAGGAAAACAAGTGAGTCAGGCAAAGCTAGTCTCTTCTACGTCACAGGGAAAAAATTTGGCTTTGCCTACCTTGGCTTGTGACCATGGAGGGCTGCACTGATTTTACAGCCAGTGCACGTATCTGTTAGAAGAAGCTAAATATTAGCATTAGCCCTTCCATGTTGTTGAAGTGATCGGGTTTGGATTTGTTGGCTTAACCCTTTGATGCATAATGGTCACTACAGTGGACAGGTACTCAAATTTGTTATGCATTTGTTTTTGCTATTAAGCACAGCTGTTGAAGACTTTATTGCATTTGAGCCCCTCCATTTGGACTTCAGTAAGCCAAGCCAACATTTTTCATGTTCTGAATGCACGTTGTCCACTGAGGTGGACATGTAATAAATTATTTGTACATTATAAAATTTTACAAAAAATATTTGTTGAAATTTGTTTCATTCACACCTAAAGACGAATGAAAAAAATTGTTTAAAAAAATCATGGTTTAAAAGGGTTAATACACCAGTGTTGCAATTTTAATCCTAGAATAAAGGTTTTATTCTGAGTTTGGTAACAAATGCAGAAGAAAAGTCACATTGCTGTTAGCCAATCAGAGTTGAGGCGTTTACATATGATGATTATTAATGAGCATGACTAATTCTGTCGACTAATCATGTAATTTTTTCACTTGTGCAGCAAATTTCTACCCCCTTCAAGTGACAAAGTGTAGTTTTACCATTAATCTCGGAAGACATCTATTGAAATGTTGATGAAAATGAATTAAACGATGCCCAGTTGTCGAAAAATATTGGTGGCTTTGTAACATGTAACCAGAGGTGGAAAGAGCACTAAAAGTTTCTACTTAAGTACGAGTACCAATACGTCGATGATGTTTTTACTCAAGAACAAATTTTCATCTACATTTTTACTCAAGTAAAAGTAAAAAGTATCGTAAAATAAAATGTTCTCAAAGTAAAAGTTACTTAGTTACTTTTTTGTCAGTGTATGGCTACATAAGTAGTCCAAAATCACAATGCCAGCTCAGAGCACGCCCGCGTGTACGCTCGTGTGTACGCACACACACAACCACATACACACACACACACACACACACACACACACAGAGTTTGATGGAGGGGTTTTGATCCATTCAGTGAGAACAGGAGGTACACATTGATTGGATGAGGTTTTTCCAGGAAAGTACGTTTCAAATGTGATTAAAATTATTCTTTATTTTGAAATATAAAATTATTTCTAGATGTCATCAGTATGTGAGTTATCTTGATGTTTTCATGGCAAACCTCTGAGACTGTGCTCTAACCTGTCACACAAAAGCCAAATGAAATCCAAACCGTATGAGAGCTGCTAACGTTGGCCCTGCCCTACTTCACCCCTACATCACAGTCCCTTTATTCGTGTCCATCTTAGAGTTCCTCTCTGAATGTCATGCTTATTTAGAGCAGCAGATTTTTAAAGTTAGCAGAGTTCATCCTTGGTAGTGGGTTCACTCACTCATTTAACCCTTAACCACTGAAATCAGTTTGTTCATTCCAATCTTTCTAAATAATCTTCCAATCATCCAACTGGAATCCTTACGCATCCTGTCAGAATACGCCTTGGGCGCCCAGGTGTTACTAGAACTAACTGTATCTCCTCACCACAGAGCGTGAATCTCCAAACTGTGAAGGTTGGCGTCCAAACATGAACTTTAAATTTTATTCATGTATTTATCTCCTCTTTTAGAACACTTTTAACGTGTTTTAAAAGACTATGTTGCACCTCTCAAAACAAAGATACAGTAAATCCTCTAATACAGGCCCGGGCCTGTATTTGACTCAAGCTCATCAAGCTCCAGGCCTTTATTGGAAGGAGGGCCAGAATTAGAGTGCAGGCCTCAATTTCCATTTGAGCAAAATGAACTAATGGTTCGCTGGAGTTTTTGACAATTAAAATTGCGCCCACATTTTCAAAGTTAAACACATTTCTTTTAACAACGGTAGTTTCTGCTTCAGCCCCCCCCCCCCCCCCCCCGCACAGCGGCCACAAACTCACTGATGCACCTGCAGCCTCTCAGAGTTCCTGCTGCTCTAAACATTAAAATAATTATTTCATTTTCTGTTCCTCACTTCTGATTACCTTCAATGGTGTCTGTTGCAACCACCAGGTACAAAAACTGACTTGTTTTTATTTGACTATTTTTCTGTCCTGTCTCTGTTTATTATCTTCCTGCATTTCCTCTCAGTCCTGAAGAAAAACTGCTACCTGGGTTCATATATATTCACCTCATGAGTTACCTTTGAACTGCAGTTCTAAAAGATCTACCGACCGCAAAAACAGCGGAGTGCTTGCCGGCCGTATCAGTTAGGTGCGTCACCGAGGACAAAACAGGTAATGCGCCCTGGTCCGCAGCAGCGAAACGCATCAGGCACAAATAAAAGAATAAAAGACAGAAAACATTAAAGGAAATGAGCCGACATGAACGATTGCGTGTTAAATTAGTTTTCGAGGTGGCGACACCTGATTTGATAAAGTTACTGTGGCCGTGCTCAGGACGCAGATGTCTGGAGCGCGTCAACAATCAGAGCGTTGCATGCGCAGCTGGTTAAGGTTAGGATGGGGGTGAGGGGAATGTTAAATATCAAGAGGGTAAACGTCACAATTTGGTTAAATGTACGTTTTACGGCGGGTGTCAGTACCGACGGTCTGGCACAGCGCGTTGCCTCCCGACGCGCAGGAGCTTGTCACCTGCTGACAGCAGACTGCTGTCTTTTCCGTGGACTGCATCTTGCCGGTCATTATCACGTGACAGCGACTAGTCGATGACAGGCATAAAAAGTAACTATAGAGCGGTGAAGCCGACTAGTGACTAGTTCATACAACCCTACTGCTCCCCAGAGTGTTCTGCAGCATAATCAGAACGTTCTCTTTGAACTTGATATCAAATTTTCGCCTCCTCTTCGTCTTCGCACGGTTAAAGTTACCCTCGCGGTCTATCACTGGCAAATCAAAAGTGAGACAGTCGACACAACCGCCCCCCGTACTTGCTTGTTACCACATTCCAACCGGCCACAATAAAAAAATGGCCATTATTCACCTCCGCCGACTCCGACACCGGCCAAAATATGATACCCGGCAGCTAATTAAATACAGGCTAATATTAGAGGATTTACGGTAGGTACAATATAAGACACAATTGAGGCGTCATTATTTACGAAATATAAGTTATTTTCTTGAGCCATTACTTCAAACAAGCCGCAGAAGCGGCGGTCACGTAACGTCTTTGGTATGTTCTTGCTGTGTTTAGTTTCAAACTGCATTTTTGGTTCTTTTTAAAAACACAGACAAGGTTTCTTTATTGCCTTGCTGACGGTTTGGTTTACCGGCTGTAAACTTCCTCAGAGCTGACACTGATTGTGGCGTCACTTCCTACTCCGTTTATCTGAGGGCAGCAGAGGATGTTGTCGCCCTCTGCTGCCCGCTCTCTCTTCACCATCAGCGTCAGCTCTGAGGAAGTTTACAGCCGGTAAACAAAACCGTCAGCAAGGCAATTAAGAAAGCTTTTCTGTGTTTCAAAAAATAACCAAAAATGCAGTTTGGTCACGTAACGTCACGTGACATGGGAGATAATGTTATATTTTATACATGTTAGTTTCAGTATAAATATATAACAAGCCTTTTACTTTTTAAATTGTGTATATACTGTATTTGTTAAATTAAATATGTAAGCGAGTTACTACCCGTTAGCAACCGAAGCTGCAACTACTAAGCTACTAACCAACCATAGTTAACTTCTTTGGACATAAAAAATATATATATTTTAGATATCAGCCCGATAGCTACGATTAGTTGACTTACATTCAAACTTGAAATTTGCACCGAAGCAGCTGCCGGCTTCTGATCAGCCATCCTTTTGAAAATACCACAGTGTATTCTGGGAAATGTTTGACCAGGGCTAGGCTACAAGACAACTCCTGTGTATCTTGCTCAGCTAGCTAAACAGCTAAAAAATGGAGGACACATGCCTCAGTAGAACATACACATTGGAACACGCCTTGGTGGTTCCTGATGACGTATCACCTAGGCAACCTGGGCGGGACCAAGACATCAAGGAGAAACACCCCTAGTGATAGTAACTTTGCAACATGGCTGAACGCTTTCTGTTAGCCAATCATTAGCAAGGTGTGTGCATATCATTAATAATAATGAGTAATCCTGCTGTTTTCAGCCCACCTCTGCACCAGCAAACTAATGCATCTCAGAACAGGAGCACCATAGATTTTTTTTCATTGACTCATAAGGTTAAGAGAACACTGCAAGTATATTGAATAAATTAGTAAACCACACCTTAAAATATTAATTTGACTTATTTTTTTAAAACATACTTTATTTCACGTTTTGTATTTTCTCTGAAACATATTCTGTCATCAAAGATATGAGTTTTTCTTTCTCTTTTCCAAAACTGTAGCATTTTTAGGGTTTGCCGTCTGTGTCACGAACACCATTTTTAAATTTTGTAGTTGTTTTTGTGTTTTACATAGTGGAGCAACAGCAGGTTACACATTTACTTGTTTACAAGCAGCCCACACGCTGTATAATTTTTATTTCCCCGCTGAGTAAAACGCAGCTGTGAATGCTATCGGAGTTTAGTTTCACATTAACAACCCCGTTCTTTTTTGGTTGTACACTCCCAGCAACCCTCTCAAAAATAACTGTGATAGTGTTGTATTGAGCCAACAAATCATCTAATCCAACAAGCTCTTTTTCTTCTGAAAAGCAAACACATAAACACATATGTAGGCTAAGCTGTCAGAAACTGACAGTGTTAGAGTGAATTAGGTGTCTATTTTGATTCCTGCTTGATGAGCCTTTTGCCGAATAATACTTAAATTATGCTACATTCATATTCTGAGAAGATGCTGACAATTGGCTCTAGAAAACATCTTTGAAGACTTATTATTTAAGTGTGTTTGACTTCAGGGGCAAAAACAGGACCTCTGATTCTTACCTCTTCTGTGGTGAAAAGATGAACACTTTATTAAAGTTGAATAATAGTTCAATTCAATTCAATTCAAGTTTATTTATATGGCGCCAAATCACGACAAGTCGTCTCAAGGCACTTCACATAATAAACATTCCAATTCACAGATCATTAAGCCAATCAGAAATAATGTTTCCTATATAAGGAACCCAGCAAATTGCATCAAGTCACTGACTAGTGTCAGTGAATCCTCATACTAAGCAAGCATGCAGCGACAGTGGAGAGGAAAACTCCCTTTTAACAGGAAGAAACCTCCGGAGAATCCTGGCTCAGTATAAGCAGCCATCCTCCACGACTCACTGGGGATTGAGAAGACAGAGCACGCACACACACACACACACACACACACACACACACACACACACACACACACACACACACACACACACACACACACACACACACACACACACACACACACACACACACACAAAGACAAGTAATGTGTCTATAGTTACATTGTGATGTCTTAGTAAATATTGTATTTGGTGAAAGATAAACTTTATTGTATTTATCCTAGTGCTCATAATACTCCACCCCCGTCATTCCCATTTTTAATGAAGTACCCAAATTTTCCCGAGTGTTCACCACACTTACAACTCATCTGTAATGGTGGGTTGATTGTTTAATTAATGTCTCATTATTCTCAAGCTTTTAAAACACTGGAAACAAAAATTTTAATTGGTTAAATCCTGGAATGATTACAGTTTTCAGGTGGACTCATTCCCCTAAGGAGACAATTTAATGGAGAGAAGTGTTTGTGCACAAATGCACTTTGTTGGATTTTATTCTTAGCATTTGTATTTTTTGCTCACTTGATTAAGATAATTATTTGAGTATTAGTAGGATTTGCAGAGGAAGAGAAAGAGATTCAGTGGCAAGCAAAACATTTTTTCAAATATTTGAATTGATCCTTTATGTTTTCTTTACTTTATCATAAATAACTCTTTATGTTAATCTTATTCATGTTATTTATGAAAGATATATGGAGTTTCCCCCTTTCAGGAATTGTGTAAGTTTTTAGACATCCGTAAAGTAATGGTCTTAATTTGTGCTGTGATGTATACAGTGTCTTTTCGTTTCTTTTTTTTTATGCTGAACCTGTCCCGTAGATTAAAACCCCATGCAATTTGAATTGAGTGTCTTATAAACCAATAGTGTTAGTCAGGGCTGAGGTCCTGCCCCAAGTGGAGGAGTTAAAGTATCTGGGGGTCTTGTTCACGAGTGAGGGAAAGCTGGAGCGTGAGAGCGATAGGTGGATTGGTGCTGCATCTGCAGTGATGCGGGCGTTGTACCGGTCTGTTGTGGTGAAGAGAGAGCTGAGTCAGAAGGCATAGCTCTCGATTTACCGGTCGATCTATGTTCCTACCCTCACCTATGATCATGAGCTTTGGGTAGTGACCGAAAGAACGAGATCGTGGATACAAATGAGTTTTCTCTGCAGAGTGGTTGGGCTCTCCCTTAGAGAGTGAGAAGCTCGGTCATCCGGGAGGGGCTCGGAGTAGATTTGCTGCTCCTCCACATCAAGAGGAGCCAGTTGAGGTGGCTCGGGCATCTGGTCAGGATGCCTCCTGGACGCCTCCCTGGTGAGGTTTTCCCGGGCACGTCCAACCGGGAGGAGGCCTAAAGGTAGACCCAGGACATGTTGGAAGGACTATGTCTCTCACCTAGCCAGGGAACGCCTCGGGATTCCCCCGGAGGAGCTGGCCCAAGTGGCTGGGGTGAGGGAAGTCTGGGCCTCTCGCTTTAGGCTACTGCCCCCGCGACCCGACTCCGGATAAGCAGATGAAAATGGATGGATGGATGGATGGATGGATGGATGGATGGGTGGATGGATGGATGGTGTTAGTCATCTGCTTACCTATAGATGTCAGCCACATTGTGCACGTGCGTTTTCAGGCGTAGCTAGACAGATGCAGAGTTGGCGACCATTCTTGTGGACAAATGATTCTTCAAAACAAATAAATATCAATCAATAGCATAACCTGGTGATAATAATTGTAAAACTATGTGTTTTACCTCTGTTTTCTGGTTAAAGGTGCACGCTCATGAATGAGACACATTACTTCCAGCTATAATTACGGAATTAGGGAGATGGGCTTAAGGTGCAATGCATTTTTCTGCCTTCTAGACGATGCCCTCTGACCAAAAATCTTTTGGATTTGTGCTTTAAGAAAACCTTTTTCTTGGTGAATGTACTTATGTGAGAAAGTATTATTGCTCCCTATAGTGTTATTCTGTTTTCTTACATTTTTTGGTCAATCTTAAATGTTTAAGATCAACAAATACATTTTTATATCAGACAACAACAACTGACTTAACTGCTATTTTCAGCTTGAATGGCTTGTTTAAAATTGAAGGTAAGACTTGAAGGTAAACATTCTCCTTAAGGATTTTTTTCAAGAAGGCAAAGTTAATCGCTTCATCAACAATGGCAAGTGGTTCTGGTCTGGAAGCAGCAAGGCAGCCCCAGTCTCGGGGCCCTTGTGGCCCCAAACAAACGCCTGCCCTGCCTGTCGGCACGCAGGACCACTGGTTGTCTGAGAGGTTCCATTGATGTGATTTCTTAACTCTGTAGTTCTGTTTTTTTTTTCTTGCCATGTGATTTAAATAATCATTTGACAGTTTTATTTTGTATTATTGGGTTACCATGGGACGGATAATAAAACGTGTTTGTTAATAGATGGAGAAAAACATTTTGACAGTATTGTTTCTTTTCCCTTCAGACTCCTAAATGCTGGACTGGGCGCTTCCTGATGAACCTTTGGGCTATTTTCTGCTTACTGGTTCTGTCCAGCTACACTGCCAACCTTGCTGCAGTCATGGTCGGAGAGAAGACCTTCGAGCAGGTTTTGGGAATTCACGACGAGAAGGTTCGAACTCATGCAAGGACATAAATGTGCTGCTAAAGGAATGTCAACTTTCCACAAGCATGCACAACTAATCTCACACAAGGCCAAGCTAATGAGCAACAAGCAGACTTATTAGTGAGGGATTACCACATTTCAAATCACTAAATTGTTTTGGGAGTTCAAGGCTACCATGAATTTAATCTGATCTGCATCATTTCTCTGCTTATTTCCATTTCCACCCTTTTTTCCCTCCTCCGTCGCCTTCCTGTCTCACTCCCCTAGCTGCACCATCCCTCTCTGGGCTTTCGCTTTGGGACGGTGAGGGAGAGCAGTGCAGAGGATTACATGAAGAAGAGTTTCCCAGAGATGCACGACTACATGAGACGCTTCAACCAGCCCACTACCCCAGCGGGTGTACACATGTTGAAGTAAGGCACGAGCACATCCGTGTGTAGAAAGTGTAATTTGCACCTGTTTACTGTAGCCGACATGGAATTTGAAACTGAACAATCTAGTCACGTTTGCATCCGTGGTTTTCTGTTTTCTCAGTGCTCCCATTCTCCCAAGAGAAACAGCATGAGCAAACACAACTAATTTACATCTGTCCGAAACAATTTTAGCACAGAACCATGTAATATTTAGGAAATAAACTATTTGCATGAAGATTTTGGTTTTATCCAACAAATTCATTAGGAATTTCTAAATGAGCAGAAAAGATTTTTACATTCGTATTTAAGTAAGTTTTGCATTGCAGATATCTTTTGGTCTAACACCAAGTATTATTACAATGAAAGCATTACTTGACATTTTCTTATTAAAGTAAACACACTAGTTTGCAAACACATCAAATTCTTATTTGGATCTTGGCACGTTTCTGATCACGCTTTAAGTGAGATAAAGGAAGGCAACCATTTCATTGGCAAAATCTCAGAAATTTAAGGAGGAAAATTATTTTCCTATTTGAAACAGAGTACGAATGAGCACCAGGGATAGACTGATGCAATTACCGCTGAGGATGAATGGTTTAATAGGATGTTGAATAGGGACAGACAGCAGACGAAAGCAAGCTGGCAAGGCATGATTATTTTTAAAGAGCATTTAATTCACGAGAGCTGGTGAAATGCTTCACATGCGTCATTAAAAGCATAAAGGAGACAGAACACACGGTGCTAAAAACACACATTTTAAGGTTTCTGAGGTGAGCGACAGCTTATGTACTTAAAAATCAAATCTTTTGAAGTGGGGTTCTGTGGAGAAGAAGTCATGAACAGTCTTGTAGTAGACAGCTCTTCGAACAGCCTCATTTTGGAGAAATAAAGTTTAGTTCTGATCGGATTGATGAGCTAACAGCTAGTCAGTGCAAGTATAGTTTGAAAGTAATTTATAACTATTGCTAAGCTCTAATTTCCAACAAATAATTTTAGTTCAAACTGATGAAAAATTGATTGTTTTTATTGTGGTAAAACACAAGTTTCTGAAAGCTGCATTATGTCATATTTTTGTTCAAATAAACCATTTCTTAAATCTATCCAGTTTTTTTTATCTCCTGATCATACAATAGAATCTAAGTTTTGCCATAAATGCATGAAGATGCAATTTTCTTTTTTCAAAAGTTTCAGCCTGCTAGAGCGCATGCCGTGACATGTGTTTGTGTGTGTGCGTTTATGAGGAGAAGCTGGAAATTTTCATTTAAAGATCCTGCCAGCAATTCATTCCTGGTTTTCTGCTTCGAGCCCAGGGAACCAGGCAAGAACAGCCTCGAGGCCCGCTCCTCCTCCCATTTCTGACCAAGACAGGGCACCCAGGAATGAGCCTCCAGTATGCTAATTCCCACCTGGTCGTTCCTCCTCATGGTTCTGCCTGAGTTTGAGCGCTCAAAAGCCGCTCTTAAGGCTGATAAGTCCATCCAGGATCCATGCATTTTAGGCATCACGTCTTTCTGGTTTTGCCAAGAGAATTGCAACAGACCAGGACTTTGGCTTTTTTTAAGAACCTGGGTGGGGAGCGAGATAATCTCACATGGCAATCCGATTTTGCCTCACTGTTGTTAGGATAACTTTCCATGATCGCCTGCCGAATTTCCTTGGTTCTCCCAAGCTCTCCCTTACTCCTTCCATCTCTTCCACTCACCCAGCTTGTTCTGTGACTTGAGTTCAAAGCAATAGTAAATAATACTAAAAATAATTTGGTAAACAATAACCGGGTGAATGTCACTGGAGTGTGCATTTTACTGACTGCAGTTCCTCTAATGGCCACAAGGTACACTCTCTGCAGCACCCTCTGCAAACTCCACAGAGAAGCTTTAAAAACCTGTCCTGTCTTTCCTCTGAGAGCTTGCTGCTCTTTCTTTAATCTTAATTTTAATTTTGTAATAACTTGTATAATTATGGTAGATTTGCCCCAAGCTGGAGAAAACGCGAGGAATCCCAACGGGACACACACATATAGCAAATGCACTCTTAAATTTGATCCAATTTTAGATACATTTGGTCAGATTTGTCTCCTTTAAATGAAATTCTTGTACTTTTGCTTTATCTATAAAATAAGTTGATGATCAGTTCCAGCAGCCAATTGTTTTTCTCTATTCTGCAGATCACATGAAATGATGAAAGCAACCATTCCACACCTTTTTCCTCGCACCTGTACGACGAATATTCTTCTGTCTTTGACCTTTTTTATATAATTTATCTAAAGTTGCAAACACACACAACATTCTCTAACAGCTGTAAAAGCTTGATTCAAGAGCTTTTTAGTCGCAGGAACAGAGAACAAAAGACAAACAGAACAGGTTTTCTCTGGCTACGTATGAAGCAAAAGCTCTCCCAGCTACAACCGCACTTCTCAGACGTAACACTCCATAAAGCAGTGGCAGAGATGCTGAGATAGTGCATGTGCTGACTTTGTGATACCAGTGGGAAGATACAAGGCTCTTGTTCAGAGAAAGAGGATGATGAAGGCGGCGTTTGTTTGCGTGCGAGGCGAAACAGAAGTGTAAGTCACAGCAGTGGAGAGAACCAAAGAGGGAATGTAAAAGACTGTGCTGGCAGAAATACTGACCCCAATACTACTATCAAATCTTAGAGGAAAAATAAATAAATAAATAAATAAGCTCTTCTTTGGCTACGCATGCAGCTGCGCACACATGTAGAAAATAACTCCTAGCCAAGCACTCACTGTACAGCCTTGAAAGTGCTGTTCTGGCTGCAGACTTTCATGTTTTATATGCCTGCAAAAATGCAGGCATGCTCCCATTTTTTATTCCAAGGTTATGTATCAGATCACTTCTAACCCTATTTAGTCCCAGATGTAGTCTGAATCCACTCTTCCTTCCACCCCTTGCATTTGACAGGTCTAGACAGGGAAAAGCAGACTTCCCGTCTTTGCAAGCATGCCAAAGTCTTTGTAAAGTCAAGCTTTTGTTTATCGGTTTACGTACTGAATAACAACAAGATTCATGCTATGTGATCAGACTGGTCTGGTATTCCCAGCGGACCAACTATATGTGCATGCTTTCCCCCGGTGCATGTATTCATTCTTATTTATCTGCCTTCCAGTTCTCCGTGTGTGTGGAGTTATTGCTTTGAATGTGAATTCTGATGTGTGTATCTTTTTATTATCATTGCGCGTCAGTGTATATTTTTCAGAGCCCTGCGTGCCATGCATCCTGAAACTTATCGGCAGTCAGCTGCGGTCAGCAGCCCAGGAACAATCTATAATTGGGGGTCAATTGGGGTCAAGTGGATCAATATCACTAGAAATTGAAGAGTCCTCTGCGGAGTGTATAATGTCTTATCAGTGTGCCACAGAGGCTGTTGGTTTGGGTAATGATGTATGTGTTTACCTAGTGTATTAGAGCACAGTTAATCTAATCCTCCCTGCCATGACAGCCTCAAAATCTGGTCTGGGAAAAAGGTCTTGCGAAGCAGTTTAAATATAGGAAAAGTTAATCTAATATAGCTTCACATTTGCTTTTCTTCCAGATGAATATACTTCAATTAATCCTTCTTTGTTTCTGTCTTGCCGCGTGTGTCGGTGGTGAAGGACAGATCCTCCTGCCCTGGATGCATTCATCATGGATAAAGCCCTGCTGGACTTTGAGGTCTCCATCGACGCAGACTGCAAACTGCTCACAGTGGGGAAGCCTTTTGCCATTGAAGGTCTGCATGCTGTTAGACTCACACACACACACACACACACACACACACACACACACACACACACACACACACACACACACACTTGTTTGTATGACTTTTAAGGAGTTTGTATTGACTTACAGGCAACTCGCAGCAGGAGCATTTTGGAAAATCTCGTTTTCCTTAGTCTTGATGTGTTGTTTGCTTTATTTTCTTTTTTTACATTTGTTTTGCTGTAACAAAACACCCAACAATCTTGTCTAAACCTACATGCAAACAAAGCTGGAACTGAAAGAACATGACCAAAGACCAAAACTCATCACAATTAATTATTGTAGCATTTGCTCCTTTAGAAAATGCAACACGTGGGACTAGAGGCTCTCATATTTAAATTGTCCTTCATTCTACTGGTCTGCAGCATTCTCACTCACAGATATAGATCAAATGCTGTAGTTAGCAACATGACTGACAGCATGACAAGTATGTGAATTTATGATGCCCCAGGAAACACACACATCTATTAATAAAGAGACAATGTTCCGTGAGAAGACTGAAGTTGGTTTAAGAGAAGGCTATGATCAAATCTACAGCCAACAGGAAGCACCTAATGACCCACAGGTTTTTTTATGTGTTCGTCACTTCGCTGTGCTTGATGAATGTGTGGGGTTTCGTGTAAATGTGGACTTGTGCCATTCTTAAAGATGATGTTTTCCTTTTAGGCTCTCAGAGGGAGGACAGTTTTTCTAAAAGGAGGTATTTGCTCTTATTCTATCTGACAATCACTGTGCATCACAGCATGCACAGAAAAAAATGCAGCAAAGATGCTTCCATCAAACATTTTATGCTGCTGTCAAGTTTACATGATGAGCACAGAAATGTGCACTTGTTCCCCTCCTTCTCCTCTTCTTTTCAGACCTAAAACTACTGAATACCTACAATTATTCAAAAAGAACAGCTCCTTTAAGGGATAGGTCTTAGTCTTATCGTGATCTTTGGTGTGAATGAAAACAAAATTTTGTTTCTTTCTATTCACCCATCTTAAATGTGGTGTTCCCCAGGGCTCCGTGCTTGGTACTCTACTGTTCTCTTTTTGTTTGCTTCCTCTGGGTGCTATTTTTAGGAAATATGGTCTGGCTTTTCATTGTTACGCGGACAACTGTCAAATTTATGCACCAGTCAAAGGGGTGGCGGGTATGTTACAGTGTCTTGAGGAGGTAAAAGTGTGGATGACCTATAATTTTCTGAGCATAAATGAGTGCAAGACCAAAATTATCTTTTTTAAAGGTATAGCAATCGATGTTTCAAAGTTTCAGGAAAGAACTGCCCTCTCCATGTTGCACAACACTCTCCCAGCGCCTGTTTACAAGTATCTGCCGGCCGTAATGTGTAATAAGAGGCTCTGTGGGGAGAAGACTGGACCGCGTTAGCTTCTTCCTGATTGCCATGAGAGTGCGGGGGTGCACAGAGTACGCATACGCAGGAAGTGAAAACTAACCCAGGATTGGCTTCACCAGAAATTTACATTTTTGTGGACCAATGTTGACTTGATCCACCCGGAAGAAAAACATTGATTGCTATACCTTTAACCTAATGGCTCATTGGCTGTTTCTCCTTCTCTCTTGGATGCAATGCCGCCTTGTCCCAAATCATCTCAAACTTGGGGGTTAAGGTAGACTCGGAGCTGAAATTTGATAAGCAGGTAAATTGTGTGGTAAAATCCTGTGTAGCCCTCATTTACTCAATACCATTAAATAAATGGGCTTTGGGTTCTTTTTTTTTAGTGTAATCTCGTACGATATTCTTAAATTAACTTTTCTTTTGTTTCTGGGATCAATGAAGCTTATTCCTTAACAATGGCACTACACGCGAAAATGAACACTAGTGTCTACAGTGCAGTAAATCATATCATACACCATGTAAAGTAGAGCAATGTAACCCTCCTTTAATTTACCAAACAATGAAAACAATAAAATAATAAAATGGCAGGTTTCAGTATTCAGGCAAAGCAAAACACCCACAGCAATTTACCCAGTGTACCCAGAATCCCCACATACACCGTATAAACCACCAGTGATAAAACAATTATAGTCCCAAACTAAACTTAAAGCCGGCAGAGATAAACCCTACGTTGCAGGCCTGTATTGCTCCAGTATAAATCCAAAACGATCTCCAAACCGAAAGTTCTTCACTCAACGAGCAAAAATAAATAAATAAACTCAGTACCTTGTGAAACGTGCAATTCCCACCAGATTACTCCAGGCAACAGGTTGTCTTCCGCTCCTTCAAAAGCACTCCGCTCTGAACGCAGTAGCCAAAGATGAGGAAGGTCCGTGATCTCCACGTGCTCCACAAGCTACTTGTTTTTAGCTTCCCACGTTGCCAGAGGTACTCAGAGTGACGCGGGCACTCAGAGTGACTATCTGGGGTCTGTCTGTCGCTATCCAGTCCAGTAACGATCCTCTGCAGCTTGTTTAAGTTCCACCACTTTAGCGAAACGGCAGTCTACAGTAGTCCTTGTTAGCTAATGGCTGTGTTAGCCTCACTTTAACTCAATGCATGCACGGACGCAGTAAACAAAACACAGTCCAGCAGACTCACGCTGAAACTTTACATGTTATGTCACTAGCTTACCGACACTATGACTTATCTTTTCAAAAAGTCAAAACACACTTATTACTAGTACCTAAAAACAAGCTAACTCTTCGGGATACTCCGTGTAACTCACGCACCACCACCATCTCTCCTCGCGCTCTCCCTTTCTCTTCCCTCTTTTTTTTCTTCTTCCCCACGCTGTGTTACCTTCACAGACCATATCCCCGTAGGAAATTACAGTTCTCACAAGCAATTCACAATAAAAGAAAGAAAACTTATTTTAAACAATGCAAACATGTTTTTACTCATTTGACATGAACTTTGATCTTTTTAATATACAAGAAAATTGAACAAATGAATTTTACTCTTTGATATTTATACTCTTAGACTTTACTTATCTTTTACTACTTATGCATCTTTTTAACCCGGGTTACACCCTCCCCCCACTAAATGTCTGGTGTCCTCAACAGACTACCAAGGAACTACAAGAACTTGGGAAGTAGGATGACCCTTTTTTTTTTTTTTAACACTATGGCTCTTAGTCTTTGCCTATAGTGATAACAACCCCTCTATGTATAATAGTGATAGGCTGATCTTTAGCTTTTCCTGGCTCATCATAGGTTAAACGAACTACTGGTTTAATCGGTCACTTAGGCCTTAGTTTAGGAGTGTCACCCAATAGATTACGGTGTGTATTTGGTTTCTGAGTTTTGTCAGACCGGGCTGTTCTGTGATCCAGATCAGGTTCTGGGGCAGAATCTTCATCATCTTCTTCATTTTGGTCAGACACCTCCTGAATATCCACCATTTGGTCGGGCTCAGTCTCACTGTCCTGATTAACGTCTCCATCCTCCAGTGGCAGTTCCTCATTTTCACTGCTCTCATCAGAAGCAATTTCATCACTGACCTTGTCCTGGTCACTTGCACAATCCTCTTGTGACACTGCTTGGGATCTAAGAGCCTGTCTTAGTGCTTCTCTTACTCTTTCTTGAGAGTAGCCGTATCTCTGAGGCTCATAGTATTCACTCTCTGAGGACGAACCAGAATCCTGGGACAGCTGAGGGTCAGACACAACTGTGGCCTGCTTTGGTTTCTTGCCCTTTTGTTTTTGTCTGTCACAACAGTTATTGCCTTCTTCAAGGATTGGCAATTTCACATGTTGGCCAATGGGAAGGATGTGATCTCTGTGGATTGTTTTTAGACGACCACTTCCATTCTCCTTCTTCAGTTGGTAGACAGGGAGATTGGGCATTTTTCCAACAACTTGGTAAGGTATTGGACTCCATCTTGTTTGCAACTTGTGCTTCCCTTTGAGACCCCAATTCTTCAGTAGGACTCTGTCTCCTATTTCTAGAGACTGGAAACAAACTCTCTGGTCATAGCCCTTTTTGTTCTTCTGATGAACTTTGTCTGCCGTCTCGGATGCTAGCTTGTAAGCTTGACGGAGATCTTCTTTAAGTTTTGACACATAGCGTGAGTGACTTTCCTCAGCTTTGTCAATTGTGGTCCCAAAGCACAAGTCCACTGGCAGTCTGGCTTCACGACCAAACATTAAGAAGTATGGTGAAAAACCAGTTGCATCACATCTTGTACTGTTATAAGCATGGACCAAATAAGGGACATGCTGGCTCCACTGACGTTTCTTTTCTGTGCTTAGAGTACCCAACATTGAAAGCAGCGTTCGATTGAACCGCTCTGGCTGCGGGTCTCCTTGCGGATGATACGGAGTAGTGCGCGACTTCCGTATCCCCATGTTCTTCAACAAGTCTTTAATCAGACGACTCTCAAAGTCTCGCCCCTGGTCTGAATGGATACGAGCCGGAAGGCCATAGTGGACAAAAAACTTATCCACTAAGGTTTTGGCCACTGTTTGAGATGTCTGATTCTTGGTCGGGAATGCCTGGGCATAGCGGGTGAAATGATCGGTGACCACTAAAACATTTCTCATGCCCTTGGAATCCGTCTCCATTGAGAGAAAGTCGATGCACACCAGATCCATAGGTCCACTACTGGAGATCTGGTGAAGCGGTGCGGCTCTCTGGGCAGGAGTCTTGCGTGTTATGCATTCACCACAACTTTTGATATGGTGCTCAATGTCTTGCAACATTCTTGGCCAGTAGAACCTGCGACGGAGTAAATCCAGAGTTCTCTCTATGCCAAGGTGTCCTGAGTTATTATGTACCGATCTCAACACAACGTCATGATACACCTTTGGCAAGACGAGCTGACGGACCTCCTCCCCTGAGTGACGTTTGGTGATGCGGTAGAGCAGACCGTCACTCAGCAGAGTCAGCTTATCTTTCTCTCTTTTTAGGAGCGACAGCTCCGGATTGTTGCCTGTCCATAAATTCTGTTGGACAGCTTTGACTGCTGGACCAATGACTGGATCCTCTTTCTGTGCCTTAGCGAGATCAGCTTTTGAGATGTGT